TCCAGGAAAAGTGCAATGCCCATCCTTCAACCTACTCTAGGATACATAAGTAAAGGAGGTTGTATTAGTGGTAGAAAGAAATGCAATTAATTATGTTCTTATAGAAACATAAGAGGTCATTATTATGACCTCTTGGGGTCATTAACGTGTAGAACTTCTAGCTGGGTTGATAAAATGGGTCATTTGCATTAAGATATACTATGCATATCTGCATTTAGCATTTACGTGACTTTTGTTCACTTGACTTTAGAAAACATTTTTTATATTGAAAACAAAATTAAATAGTAGAAAATCCATTTAAAATAATTTCAAAAAGAATAATTATAGTTGATAACTATTGTTCATATGTTGGATAAAGTTTACTGGGCCAAATACTGGTTCTATACAGCATGTAACCACAGTCAGAAAACTGTCATGATCCAAATAAAGATAGAAAATCTTGTTTTGAAGAAGTGAGTTAATCACCGAAATTAAAGTCTGTACTAACACCATGGCAACACAGATAAACCATTGCTGCAATGTAAACATTGCAAACAGATGGGCATGATTAAATAAACAAAAGACACATTAGATGGGTATATCTAGTGTTCCATAATTACCAACACTTGTGCAAGTATTATAAGCTATAAAACAACGTAACGGGAATATTGGTGGACATACATCAGTCCTGTAGTTCTTTCTCCAATAGATACATTGTAAGAACTTCATAATTTGAATTAAAAGAGCAAAGTATTCTTAGATAACTATGGATTCATTAACAATAGTCCTAGAGTTACCCAAAGGACACAGAAACATCAATTCCAAAGAGCACCTGCACCCCTATTTTTTTTTATGTTAATATATTTTCTTTATAAAAGAAATCAGACATCATGAATTCAGCTTTATCATTCCCCATCACAATTTCCTCTACATCTCTTCAAATAATGATTACTAACTTGCCCACTTAAAAAAAGTTTTACTTACATGTATTTGCTCATGGAAAATATATCTAACCCTGCTTTACTGTGTTTTTTTTTTTTAAATCTTAAATTTTATTTTTATATTCCCCCATACAATTGCAAATGCCCCATTCTGACCCCAATCCTTCCCCTCCCGCCCCCCACCCCCCAAAAAGTGTCTCTGGTTCATAGTTTTTTGTTGATTTTGATTTTCACTTTCTTATATTCATTTTCCTGGTCCCTTATTTAAGTTTTCTAGATTCCTGCTATGAGTGAGACCATCCGGTATTTTTCTTTTTCTTTTTGGCTTATTTCACTGAGCATGATCCCTTCCAGCGCCATCCATGTTGCTGCAAATTGCATGTGTTTATCTTTTTTGAATGCTGAGTAATATTCCATGGTATATATGTACCACATCTTCTTGATCCAGTCATCTACTTTTGGGCATTTGGGTTGTTTCCAAAGCTTAGCTATTGTAAACAGTGCTGCTATAAACATAGGGGTGCAGGTGCTCTTTGGAATTGATGTTTCTGTGTCCTTTGGGTAAATACCTAGGAGTGGAATTGCTGGATCATATGGAAGCTCTATGTTTAGTAGGTCCAGAAATCTCCACACAGCTCTCCATAGTGGTTGGACCAGTTTGCACTCCCACCAACAGTGCAGAAGAGTTCCTTTTTCTCCACACCCTCGCCAACATTTGTTGTTGCTAGTTTTTTTAATATGTGCCATTCTCACTGGTGTGAGATGGTATCTCATGGTAGTTTTGATTTGCATTTCCCTGATTACAAGTGATGTTGAACATTTTTTCATATGTCTGTTGGCCATTTGCATTTCCTCTTCAGAGAAGTTTCTTTTTAGCTCTTCTGCCCATTTTTTGACTGGATTATTTTCTTTGTTGTTGCTGAGTCTCATCAGCTCTTTGCAGATTTTTGTGATCAGTCCTTTATCATTAGTGTTGGGTGCAAAAATGTTCTCCCAGTTGGTGGGGTTTCTCTTTGTTTTTGTTATTGTCTCTTTTGCTGTGCAGAAGCTCTTTAATTTGATGTAGTCCCAGCTGTTTATCTTTGTCTTCACTATCACTGCTTTGGGTGATGTGTCTGTAAAGATGCCTTTGATTGCACCCCTATGTTTATAGCAGCACTGTTTACAACAGCTAAGCTCAGTGAAATAATCATGCTCAGTGAAATAAGCCAGAAAGAAAAAGAAAAATACCGGATGGTCTTACTCATAGCAGGAATCTAGAAAACTTAAATAAGGGACCAAGAAAAAGAATAACTATAAGAAAGTGAAAATCAAAATCAACAAAAAACTATGAACCAGAGACACTCTATGGAGGGTGGGGGGCAAGGAGGGGAGGGATTGGGGTCAAAATAAGGGGGCTGCAATTGTATGGGAAATATAAAAATAAAATTTATTAAAAAAAAAAAAGAATAGTCCTAGAGGGCAGATTGTGTTAAAACACTAAGAGCACAATGACCTGTGGAAGAGTAATTTCTAATCATTAAGGAGTCACACATTTCCTCCTTAATATCTACACATTGCTTATTTTAGCATTTTCAAAATTACCAATCTGCTATAATTCTGTTATTAAAACAACACACACTCTATAACACATAAATATTACAAAGACTTTTTAAGTCATTTCTCTATGAAACTTTATTGGTTTAAAGAGACTCAGAAGAAATTTCAGCAAGTAAATTTTAATAGCATTTGTTTTAAGAACCATTTATCTACAGTCTCTGGATCTTTTCATTGACTCCTACAGATTCAAGTTAGCATTTTATGCCATTTTGCCCTCCAAATCATCACTGGGTCCAACCTCCCTTGTCCAGTTCTTGTAAAACATTTTGGAGACTGTATGTTGGGGCCCCAGCACTATGCTTTGTAGATCTATTGCTTTATACAATTGCCTATTTAATCTTCATTGAAAAGAAAAGAAAGAGTTATGCATTTGTATGGACTTTGTAATTATAGACTTAACCTTGGCCATGACTTTTGATTGTTTCATTCTGCTCCTTTTTTTTCTTCTATACTTCTGTGGATTAAATTGCTCTGAGGATCACCTACTTTCAACTAGAAGAATTCCTATTAGGTTTCTCATTAAAGTGAGTCTGCTAGCAATAAATTATCTTAATTTTTATTGGTTGGGAATCTATTTCAATTTCATTTTTGTAGTAAATCTTGGGTTAGGGCTGCCAGTTTCTGCTGTTACATCAGGTGTTCTTAACAGAGTATCTTTTACAATCAGCCATTTCTCTCTTGCTGTTGTCAAGATTATCTCCTTGTCTTTTTTCCCCTCATCTATGCTCTAGTGGGACTGCTGGTGAATTTTATTTTGTGCTTCTACTATTTAGATTTACCTGTACTTGGCACTAGAGACTATTAAATCTCACTGAAGTGTTTTCAAATTTTACCTCCATCTCTTCAAATTTATTTTCTTCTCTCTGCTGCTCTCTTTTTTCTTTCTAACAATCCTATTACCCTAAATTTGCATCATCTCTCTTCAGACTCATCAAGCCCTTGCTTGGCCCTGCAGTGAATTTTTCATTTCATTTTACACCCCTTTATATCAAATTTGCATTGTCATCGCCTATCTTAGAATTTGTGGCTATGTTATTACTGTCTATTTTATGAAATATCCAACCATATGAATCATTCCTTGAGCATGGTTTCCATCAGTTCTTTGAACATATTTATAATCATTACTTTGTAAGCAACATCTGGGTCTCACAAGCATTTCTGTTGCCTGAGCTTGGACTCAATTTCTATTTCTTTGCATATCTTAAAGGTTTTCTTTTCATTTTTGCTAGCAAGTGGATGTTGTAGATAATAAATTCTGACAACTCTGATCCCTGTATTTCCTATATGAAGAGTGTTGATTAGTGTGCCTTTTTGGTGTAGAGACTTTTTTTTTTTTTTTTATTCATTTATTTGTTTGTTTGTTTTTTTTTTTGTTTTATACAAGCACTGGGTACAGTCAGAAGCGCGGGAGGGTGAGAGAATTCACCAGAGCCAGAGCGGGGAGCAGAGCAGGCAGAGGGACCGAAGTACACTGCTGAGGGGAGCAGCGGGCGGCAGGAGAGGTCTGCGCGCCATGTGGGACCCTCCTCTGGTGGCCGGGGAGCAGCCGGGGATCGAACCAGCGCTACAGAGGCCGCGGGCAGCTTCGCAACCCAGCGCTCAACCGCTGCGCCACCGGGGAGGCCCTGTAGAGACTTTTGATTATCCTATTTATTTATGATCCATTTGTCCATTCATTATTAATCACCAGTCATTAGTTTGCTCAGTATAAGTTAGCTTTAGTGATTTACAGGGAGTGTTTTACTAAAATCTCCTTCCCCTGATGAACGAAGCTTCTCTTGTTCTCCTGTGAGGGCATATAGTCGGGCATGCAAAAAATTCCTTTTGCTATCACTGCTTCTAATAAGGCTGTGTGTAAATATCTGTTTCAACATTCCTTTGTGGAGGACAAAGCTGTGTTCCTCCTTGGTATCACAGAAAATATCAGAGAGGTCCGCCTAATATTTACCCAGGCCTTTTCTATTGTATTAACTCTGAACTAAAGAGCATACCTAAAAACTGTAATACTGCAGGTTAGATACTAAAAGTTTGCCTGAGATGTTCTTAATGAAGAGAGAGATGATAAACAGAGATATAGCTGTTATTGTACTTTTCTTATCACATCTATCTGCTAACATTTCTGCATTTTCAGATTAGAAAAAGCAATTTCTATATGGGCTATAAATAGAAAATGAGTAGAATAGAATTGGTTATTTGTGCATTGATCATTTTCTAAGTTTACTATCACACAGGTTTTTAAGGCTCACCTTTTAAGGAGAGCAACAGCTGAAATCAAAATTAGTAACTGTTTCACATTGATATTTAATACAAGTTTAGAGGTAATTAAAGAGGGACTTCATGAAAACTTTTGCCCCAAAACCAGTAAACTATATACACTGTTTGTATTAAGTACCCATACTTAACTATAATCCTGAGAAGATAAATGGTTAGAAATTAATTAGACTTTAATTGAAATATTAGTTACAATATCCTTATTCATACCTGGGTGAGTCAGTGCATGTGTCATGGGATGGTCCTTTGCCACTGTGCTTGCAACGGTATCTGTCATGTACCCTACTTTACTCCCTGTAGATATAAAGAGATTGTTTTGAAACTGTTACCATTTGTATATGTGCATATGTGTGTGTGTGTCTTTGTGTTTGAACATATGTGTGCAGGATTAAGTTAATTAGCACTTTTTGTTATTGGAGAGCATTTATAATGAATTTCAAATGGCAGAATCACAAACCTTAAAGTGGGTAATGTGCAGAGTATTTATTTAATCCATGTTACATTGAAACATGGAAATATTTAGTAATAGGACAAAAAACTAATATCCAGGAATAACAAATTTTATATATAATGACATGCCACACAATTCCTTAACAAGTGCATTCTCATCAATGCTATCTCTTAGGTAATTTGAATTTATCCCAGGAAAATATACAAATATATAACTTCAAGGCTAACATAAAAATGCACTCATCCTTTGGGGATGAATCTACAAAAGTAGAACATAACATTTTCCCCTCACAGGTCCATCTTCATCACAGAAACAAACACCAAAACACCAAAATGTATGGCTCAGAAGAATTTATAGCCCCATTCATGATGGTAATGTGAGTTAAAACAACACAAAAACAGTGTAAATTAGCAAATATATTATAGCCACTGTATCCCATTCAAAGGATACAAATAAAATACCAGCGTTTTTTGAATCAAGAAAACACAGGTTTGGCTTCCTTACCTCAGATAAGCCAAGAGGCATTCAGAGACCATTTAAGGTAAAATTGAGTTAATATCTAAGAATTTAAAGGTATTTTCTATTTTATCTAGTAATAGAGTGATGGTCATAATTTCCCTACTTTAAAATATCTTCCCATTGCTTTAAATCTTTCCAAGAATATCTTAACACTTCTAGATCACTGAGCTATTTTTCCATACATTGTCCCTGTTATATCGTCCAATTCACTAAAAGTTATATTGAGATATGTGATAGCAATAGAGCCAAGTGTAGAATCCACTTCATTAATTAGTTATCTAATTAAAGTCCAGTGAGACATAGAATTGTTATACCTAGCTATCTCCAATTCCTCTTTCCACTGGAGTTGTTATATGCCCACTGCACTTACACATATGATGAGGTCATTTGTTAAATTATTTCTATGTGTAAATTGATATAGTTTAATGAAGCTGAGAGAAGAATTAAATGCAAACATATATATATATATATATCACCTGTTACACTTGCCTTCTGACATAATTTTTGGTTCTTTACATTTGTTTCAGTGGATTTCAGCTAATACACTGTCCTTTTCTTACTCAAATACATGACTGCTCCCACATATCACCCTTGGGATGCTACAGTGGTGTATATAAATTTTCCAAATTTGTAGGACCAACAAAACATTACTACAGATACTGTTTTAAACAATTACCTTTGAAATGAATTAAGATGAGAAAGGAGACAGGATATGCTTTCTTACAGTACTTTGGATTTGTACAAATCTTTTTCTGTTTTTGGGGAGAGGTTTTCAAAAGTTTGTCTGATGTCAACTGCATTCAGTCTGAAAATATTTCTTTAGTATTTCCAGTAAAGCAGGTGTCTAGCAAAGAGTGACCTCACTATCTATTCAGGGGGTGCTTTGGCCTCATTTTTAATTTTTGAAATATCTCTCCTGGATATATTTTTCTTGGTGCCTCTGTTTTTCTTTCAGCATTTTTAATCTGCCATCTACATCACTGTTTTCTGGCCTTCATAGTTTCCCAAGCACAGATCAAGAACCCAGTGTACTGGGTGTTCTTTGACATGTGAGTTGCGTACTCCCTTTGAGGCATTCAACATTTCTTCTGTCTTTGTCCTTGTAAGCACCTATTCTGCTTAAATGGAGTTTGCTTAGTACGGATTTATATTTATTCATATTTATCAACAAATATTTTCCATTTTCTCGGTCACTATCCTTCCATGAATTTTTCCTGCCTCTTGGTATCTCTGCTCTACTTCAATGTTCCCATTACGTTAAGTGTGTAGACTCTTCAGACCTTTCAAGGCTACTTTGGCTCCCTAGTTATTCCTGTCTGTGTTATACTTCACGTCAGTATTTCAAACTTCAGATTTTTCATTGTGATTATGAGAGTAAATCTCAATTTTTTTTTTATATTCCTGTTTGTTGTGTCACTGCCATTAATCTTCCTTTCTTTTTGTCCCAGTTTCCTTGAACTCTTTCTAAATATCTCTAACTTTTCTCTGGACTCCATTTGAGATACATGCAAGATCATTTTGGTGTCTCCCATTTTCCAGTGTATGTTTCATACTTTTCTATTTCTTTCATGGACAAAATTGTGATATTTTGTATTGTGAGTGTGTGGGGTCAGAGGGTAGTACAAATGGTCTTTGCAAAGAATATTGTAGTCCAATTGGATCCTGATGCTTCCCTGTCCTTTAGAGGTTTGTTATTGTTGTTTGCCTGATTATCCATATAGAGGTTAAGCTGCACTGTTTCTTATTGTATGATGTCTCCTGAAGTACAGCCTGTGGCTTCTGATGTAGCTCCCCTGAGGGCACAGATGTGGGGATAATTGCAGTCACCTAGATGACTGATGTTTTATGACAGTGTTCTCTCTCTGGATGTTTCCTTCCCTTACTTCTCTGCTGAGGCTCTCTGCCTCCTACGCCTTCATGCCACAGAAAAAGTGGCAGAGCATCAAACCTATGAACTCAGGCAAAGGGGCACAAGCATAAACTACATAGTAAAACTGACAACTGCTCCATCTGAGACTATCAGTTTACCGGATATTTTAATGATCTAGAGTGAATCAGTAGCCAATGAAATAACTACCTGCTCAATTTTTCTTATCATATTCATAATCTAGCATTTCTGCTTTTGAATATACACAATATACTTTCTAGTCTGCAAAATTTTGAGTAGATCTGCATCAGAAATAAACATATTCCTAAGTCTCTAGGTCACTGAATATCTAAGCATTACTTTCATTGATGAGTTTTCAAACTTATAATATGGAGCTCTTTTTCCATAACTTTTTCCATAACTGCAACTCTTGCACTAATTATTGAAGGTGAATTATGAAGAACTTTTTAAAAAAAAAGTTGTAGTAGCATATAGGCACTGTGGTCATTAAAAGATACAAATTTGAAGATCCCAGAGAAAAGAACTAAAAAACAAATAGGTATGAAATATTTTTGTACTTACCAAAATGACTCTTTGATCGTCTCTTGGTTTCCCCACGAAGAGTACTACTTCTTCTAATTGCTCCTGTGAATTGTTCTGCAAGAGAGTCTATTAAAAAAAAAACCAAGTATTTTCAATACACTTATTTAAGGTATATATAAATATTTTTGTTTGTACATGCACATGTGGATTTATATGTATTTTTCTTTCTCCTCTATATTATTTCACCTCTCTATGATGTTTTATTATAGAAGGATTATAATGAAAGGGTGATGCAGAAAAACACCACCTTAACCTGAAACCTTCATTAGCACTCAGAAAAAGATTGGGATTGAGATTAGAGAGGTTTAGTGACTTGATCCAGGTGACACGCCCAGGCTATGCAAAATCGATTCATGAATTGATTCACCGTATTTTCTCAACTATAGCTATTGCAGAGTTACATGATTCAAGTCCAAACTTGAAGAAATCCCAGAGAAAATATCAAAAACACAAAGAAACTGAAATATCCTCGTCCTTACCAAGATAAGATTTTGTTATTGCCTTCATTTCAGCATGTTTTAAACTTCTTTCAGTCACATCTGCGTAGTGTTCTACAACAGGGTCAATATACAATATTAAAAAGCACATTTCAAAACTATATTGTAGGTAAATATGAACATATATGTGTTTGTGCATGCACATTATTATTGCTGTTATTTCTTCATTTTAGTGATGTTTTTATTTAGAAGGATTATAATGAAAGCTGTGGTTTGTCTAAATACACTATTTTAACCAAGAGCGTCATTAACAAGCAGCACTTGTGAAACACTAGAGATTGTATGTTGGGGCCCCAGCACTATGTTTTTATACCTATTGCTTTATACAATTGCCTTTTTAATCCTCATTGAAAAGAAAAGAGTTTACAGCTGCACATGTTTCTGGTAATCTTTTAGATGAGCAATTGCTAACATTCAAGATATTTACCTCTTCTACATTGATATTTAATACAGGCATAAAACTAAAGAAGAAATTCATGAAAACTTTTGTCCAAAAATACTAAACTATACACACTGTTGTTATTATGCATCCAAATATAGTTAAACTGTGGAGAAGATAAATAATTAGAAATTATTAACTGTAATTGAAAAATTAGACTTGTAATATTCTTGTTCCTACCTGGGACAATTTGTGATTGTCTCTTGAGTTTTATCTTTTTATCTCTTCTTGCATCAGCATCTGTCAAGTGTTTTACATTACTCCCTAGAGATATAAAGAGATTCCTAAAATACTTTGTATAGAAACTATTACCATACAAGAAAAGGTCCCAAATAAGATAACTAAACCACGAATAGATATGAACTATCTTGTCCTTACCAAGATGACCCTTGGATCGTATCTTGAATTCTTCATATATAGTACCTCTTCGAAACACACTTGGGGCATATTTTATATCAGTGTCTACATTTAAAAAAAAAAGCAATTTCAAAACACTTTTTCAAGGTAAATACTAATATATTTTAGTTTGTGCATACACATGTGGATGTGTATGAGCTCTTATTTCTCCTCTAATTAGAATGACTTTTTTTTAAAAAGAAGGGTTATAATAAAAGCTTTGGACTACAGAAACATTCTATTTTTCTTGAAAGTACCATTAGCAATAAGTAAAGGATCTGTATATGGAGATAAGAGAGGGTTAGAGATTTGGCCAGGGCGACATATCCAGGCATTTTCAAAATCAGTGTGCAAAATGATTCTCACAATTTTTTAACCAGGGCTGTTTCCCAAACATATGAAGGGTTTTGCAAAGTTATATCTGATGGGGCTGTTTATCTGAATAAGAAGAATTTCATGTGTATATGAAACACATATCACTTAGGACAGATATCCCAGTGAGACAGGTCTCAGTAATTTTGTCCCAGGACAGGATAGGAATTATGGTCATCCTAGTCAAGGAATGCTTCTAAGAGGCAGAAATAATCCAGGAAAACTGTAATACTCATACTCCTTTTAGGTTAAGTAACTGTAAATGAGGATGTATTGTGGTAGAAAAGCTTAGCAAATGAACTGATAGAAAGTACACTTTCTCAGGGTCATTAACTTGTACAACTTTGAATTGGGTCAATGAAATGGGGCATTTGCAATAACTTGAGAAATAGTCCTCATCCCTTTCTAGTTGAGTCTTCATGTGACTTTTACTTTTCAGTTAACATCAGGAACAACGCCCTAGTTCCACTGACAGAAGAATATTGTATGAACTACTTTCAAAAGAATTGCATATTTTAAAAAAGTAATAAACATAGTTAATGACTCTCAGTAACTTGTTGGGTAGATTTTTGGGCAAATCATTTGTTCTACACAGCATGTAGCCATGGTCAGACCTGTCATGCTCCAGATAACATAAGACAGGAAGTTTTTCCTTGGAGAAATGATTGAGCCTATGAATATCTAAAGTTTTCTCAATTACATGGCAACACAGATACACCAGCACCGCAATGTAAACAGAGTTAGAGACCAGACGGGGCATCATTACCTACATCAAAGACACATTGGTCACTAGAAACAGTGCTCCATAATTAATCCCCAATATTTGTGAAAGTATTATAAGCTGCAGAACAACATAACTGCATTGGTCATAAATCAGTCCTATGGTTCTCTCTCTAACAGATACATTGTAAGAGCTTAATAATGAGAGCAAAGTATCCTTAGATAACCATGGATTCATTAAGAATAATCCCAGAGGGCAGATTGTGTTAAAACACGAAAAGCATAATGATCTGTGGAGGAGTAATTTATAACCTTTAAGGAGTCACACATTTTCTCCTTCACAATATCTACATATTACTTATTATCAGCATTGTTTTCAAAATTACTATATTGTTTGTCATTTTTGCAGCTATTGAAGCAACACATTTATAAATCATATAAGTATTGTAAAGCTTGTTATAATCATCTGTTTACAATACAGTATAGCTTTAAGGAAACTGAGAAGAAATTATAGCCAGTAAATGTCAAGAGTTTTGTTATAATAACATTCTTATTGATAATCTTTGGATCTTTTCCTTGATTCATGTTAGCACTTGTTCCCATTTTTTCCTACATTTAATCTGCAGGTCCCACCTCTCCTTGTTCAACTGTTGTGAAATATATTTGAAGTCTGTACGTTGGGGATCCAGCACTGTATTTTAATACCTATTGTTTTATACAGTTGGCATTTTAATCAATTAAGAGAAGAAAAGACACAAATATGCATTTGTATGCGCTTTGGTAATTAGAGAATTAACCTTGCCCATGATTTTTGGGTGCTTCATTTGCTCTTTGTTTAAGTTTCTCTTTTTACTCTATTTTGGATTAAATTGTTCTCTGAGATTACTTGCTTTTAGCAAGAAGAATTCTTGTTAGTATTTCTATTACAATGGATTTGTCTGGTAGCAATGAATTAGCTCAATTTTTGTTTCTTTGGGAAATCAATATTTCACCTTCATTTTTGCAGACTAGCTTATCTAAAACAAGATTTTTGTTGACAGGTTTTTCCTCTCAGGACCTGGAATAGGCCAACCCATTGCTTTCTTGCCTCTATCATTTCTGCTTTTAACTCAGGTGTTCATCTTAGCAGGGTGCTCCTTCACACCACGAGTTGTTTATTGCTGTTGTCAAGATTCTCTCTTTGTCTTTGTTTTCTCAACATTTATGCTATGGCAGGCCTGATTGTTGATTTTATTTTGTGCTTTCTACTTAGATTTCCTTGTGCTTTGAGTTAGAGACTGACCTGTTTTCACACTTATCACCATTTTTTTCTTCAAATATTTTTTCTGCTCTTGACACCCTCTTATCTCCTTCCAGTATTCCCATTACCTAATGTTAGATAAGCCTTCAGAACAATCAAGTCTTCTCTTCCTCTCTTCCCATGAATTTATCTTTCATTTAGTTAACTTTCAATACTATAATTTTCCTTCTGTTCCTTGCTATTAATTTTTATTTCTTAATCCAGGCTGCAACTCTGTGTCTTTTTATTGAAGAGTTTAATGCATTTACATTTAGAGTTAATATTGATATGTTAGCATCTGTATTTGCCATTGTGTTTGTCTTTCCTTTGATTTTATTTATTTATTCTTTTAATAACTTTTTTTTTTTTTTGGTCTTCTTTCGTTGTTATTCGTCCCTCTGAGGTTCTGGCTTTAGGATTCCTTGTAGTATTTTTTGGAGTGGGGGTTTAGTCGTAATGAAATTCCGGAGTTTTTCTTTGTCTGGGAAGGTCCATATTCTTTCTTCATGGAGGAAAGAGAGCTTTGCGGGATAGAGTATTCTTGGTTGGCATCTGTTTTCTTGGAGTCTGTTGACTATGTCCCTCCACTCTCTCCTTGCCCATAGTGTTTCTTCAGAGAAGTCTGATGTCAGCCTGATTGGTTTTCCTTTGAATGTTATCTGTTTCTTCCCTCTTGTCAGCTTCATTATTTTTTCCTTGTCCTGGATTCTTGGGAGCTTTACTATTATGTGTCTTGCTGTGTTTTTCCTTTCGTCGTGGAAGTTTGGTGTTCTTCTTGCTTCTTGTATATCAATTTTCAGCTCCTTCTTCGCATTTGGGAAGTTCTCTTCAATTATCTCCTGGAATATTTTCTCTGTTCCTACATCTCTCTCCTCTCCTTCTGAAATTCCTATAACTCTTATATTTCCTTTCCTCATGGAGTCAGATAGTTCCCGAAGTCTTTCTTTGGTTTTTTTCCTTCGTACTTCTCTTTCCTTTTCTGTTTTGGTTCTTTTTATTTCTGTGTCTTCAAGAGTACTTATTCGTTCTTCCATTTCATCTATTCTGCTTTCATTGCTTTTCCCAGAGTTCTTTAGTTCCTCCATTAATTCTTTGATCTCCTGCATTTCTTTTACTTCCCTCTTTAGGGACTCAATTTCATTCTTCTGACCATTGTTTTCCCTCTTTAGGGACTCAATTTCCTTCTTCTGATCTATCACTTTTTTAATCATGGCAATTTTAAATTCTCTTTCTGGAAGGCTCAGAAGTTCTTCCAAGTTGCTGCCGTTGCAATCTGGGGAGTGATTTTCTTTTTGTGGTGTGCTTCTTTCCTGAGGAGTTGTTAGGTTGCGTGTGGTTCTTCTACTCCCTACTGTCTGTTTTCTAATTTGTCGTATGCATTGGGACACTGTGTTGCTCGGACTGGCTGGCATCTTGGGTGAACTTCTCCGCTCCCCTCTGGCTCCTCCAGGAGCCATCTCTGCCTTCTGGGGGAGCTTTCTGCTGGTTTTAGGCAGTTTTTACTGAAGAAATGTCCCTGTTCTAAAATGGCGAAGCGGGATGCAGTCCCTGCGCCTCCTGTTTCAGGCACACTCTTCTGCGCACCCGGTCTGCCCCGGACGTGGGTGCCTGCTCCCTCTGTGGGCTCAGACTGCTGGTCGGAAGGGGCCTGGCGTGGGCTAACTTCCCGGCTGGCCACTGGGTCCAGTGGCTTCCACTGGCAGAAGCCTTCTGCCCTTTTCAAGCAGTCTTAAGAAATTTCCTGTTCTATGGGGTGTTAGTGACTTTTTTTTCTGGTCACTAGGTGGCGCCAGAGATCTCTCCTATTGTCCTTGGGGGGCTGTTTTTCGCCTCCCCCCACCCCGTGGGACAGGGAACAGAGCGGGAATGGTAGGGTAAACCTCAACAGCTTTGGGGTGCTGTCTGCCTTGTGCCCCACCGTCATGGAGAACCCACGCCCCGAATTTTCGTGCCCCGGGTCTCAGTTCAAAGCCCTCAGTTCCAGGACTCAGGTTGTAGCCCAGTTCAGTGGCGCGGGAATGGCGCCTTTTGCTCCGCTCCCGTGCCTGGGCGCCTGGTTCCTGCTCACTCAGTGAGGGACTTTCACCCCCGTGAGGGCCTCCACACGTCTCCCCGCAAGCCTAGGTCGCAGGCGCGGGGACCTGGGCAGCCGCGATCCAGGTCTGCGTTTGCTTTTCAAGCGCGCCAAGCGCGCCGCTTTTCCGCACAAGCTTACCGGCAGCCCAGGCTGTGTGCTGGTCTCCCGGGGTCTTTGTTCTTCTCTCTTGCTATTAATTTTTAATCTTTGTGTTTATACTGTCTTTTTTAATGAAATGTTTTGATCACAGCATCTTCTTCTTTGGTCATAGATTCCTATAGTTCTCTATACATATTATTATAATGGCTTCATAAGTATTATTTACCTAGGCCATCATCAAAGTCTCACAAGAAATTTCTGTTACTTGATGTACCTAAATTTGGTTTCAGTTTACTATTTCTTTGTGTGTGTGTGTGTGTGTGTGTGTCTTTTTCTTACTATTGCAAACACCCGGATATTACTGATTATATAGTGTATCAACTCTGTGTTCTGACTTCTGTATCCCTTTTCTGTGATTGGTTAGTTTCGTTTTTGTTTTGAATTTACTGTTGATTTTATTATTTATTTACTGAATCACTGATTTGTTCATTATTTAGTTACTTAATTCAAGTTGCCTCA